TGAATGATGCCTATGGACCCCCCAGCAACTTCCTCGAGATCTATGTGAGCGATCGGCAGACTCGGGTGTCGGCCGGCCGGGGCCGCTTCACCACTTACGAAATCAGGGTGAAGGTGAGGCCGTCTTTCCCCTCTCCCAAGAAACCCCTCCCGGTGGCTCTGGTCACCCCCCACTCGGCCCAGGAGTGAACCTCCGCGGGCAGCCACAGCCGCCCAGGCCGGGAGCCCCCTTGCAGAGGCTGGCTGGGGTCGTGAGCCAGGGCCCCTCTTCCTGTAGGGCTGGTGTGGGGGGCTGCAGAGCGAGCCCGGCGCCCTAGCACTTGGAGAAGGTGCTCGAAGAGGAGGGCGTGGGTTGAGCGCCGCTTGCCCCTCCAGCAGCTGATCTGGGAATGACATTTGAGTTGGAAAGGGGTAGATCTTTCGAGAACACATCCCTTCACTGGGAAGGGAAGGAGATGTTGACTGAGAAAAGGGGCTTGCGCAAAGTTAAAGCCTTTTCCCAGTTTTCTCTTCCTGGAGACTTCCCAGAGGTAGCAAGCCAAGCCCGCTGCCCCAGGCCCTTCCCGAGCTACTAAAGTAACCTAGGTTGTGTAGTCTTCTAAACGGGACTTAATGAAAGTTCACAGAAGCCTGACAATTTTTGATAGGGCTGAGCCAGACCAGAAGGGTGATTGGACATGGTTGACTTAAGCACTTTGGGCCACCGCCCTGCTAAAGGCTGAAGTGTGGTGTCACTTACCTCATAATCCAAAACTACAGTTGCTTTAAGAAAAGCCTATTTATTTAGAGATCTTGCTGTCTTAATTCGAGATTTGCATTTAACTGAATGAAGAAATCAACAGAAATAAAATATACCTAATTTCACAACTAGTGTTTGTTGGCAATAAATAATTCAGATGATTTGAAAGATATTGAAAATAGTGCTTCACTTTCACTCTATAGTTAAGTATTAAAGAATTTGCCCATGTGTGAAAGCATCTTTAAAAATTAATTACATTAACTTAAAGATGACAGCAAATTACTTTATTAAAAATTAAGTATGAGGATTTTGCCTTTAATCAAAATTTATATGACAAGCTACTATTAACATTTAAGTGAAATAATTTCTCATTAACTTACGCACTTTGTGTCGTGGAAAACACAAAACGTGAACTTTGCCATCCTAACCATTTTTAAGTGGACAGCTCAGTAGTATATTCACTTAAGTTGTGAAACCTAAGTATTTTTAAAAAATGATTGATTTTAAAAAGTTAAACTTTAAAATATGAAACGAATAGTTTACTGTTTCAAGCCACTGTTGTCTTCTTATGGATGTGTAAAATGTGAATCATAGGCCGGGAGCGGTGACTCACGCCTGTAATCCCAGCACTTTGGGAGGACCAGGTGGGCGGAACACCGAGGTTGGGAGTTCGACACCAGCCTGATCAGCATGGAGAAACCCTATCTGTACTAGAAATACAAAATTAGCGGGGTGTGGTGGCGCGTGCCTGTAATCCTAGCTACTCGGGAGGCTGAGGCTGGAGAATCGCTTGATCCAGGGAGGCAGAGGTTGCAGTGAGTCTAGATCGGGCCATTGCATTCCAGCCTGGGCAACAAGAGCGAAACCCTGTCTCTAAATAAATAAATAAAAATTGAATCATAGGCTATGTTGCCATAGGGAAACTGCAAAATCCAGGCTCCAGTACACCTGGGGAACTACATTCCCACATAAACCTAGCGGAAAAGTGAATGTTTTTCTAATTGTCTGTAATACCTGACAGATGGTTCACTAAAAAGAACTTCCTCTTTTGCCCTATACACCAGTGTTTTCTTTTTTTTTCTCTCTCTTGTGCTAAAACAGAACTTGGTATTCTTGTTTCTAGACTTCCATAGCAGGTACTTCCTGTCACAAAATTGAATTGGAATATCCTGCCTACACCTCCTCCACTTACTAACTTTGAGTTTATCTTGCCGAGTGCATTATGTTAAATGGATTCTAGTATAATAACTTAATGCTCTTTTTTTTTTTTTTAAATACAACTAATACCTTAGCAAATAACTGATGTGACACTTAAAAATGGTTTTTGGGCGTGGCGCAGTGGCTCACGCCTCTCGTCCCAGCACTGTGGGAGGCTGAGGCTGGTGGATCCCTTGAGCTCTGAAGTTTGAGACCAGCCTGGGCAACACGTTGAAACCCCTTCTCCACAAAAAAAGAAATTAGCTGGGCATGGTAGTGCGCATGCCTGAGGTCGCAGCTACTCCGGAGGCTGAGGTGGGAGCATGACTTGAGCCCAGAATAGTCATTTGTATGTTAAATAAAATTATATATATATATATATTTTTTGAGATGGAGTCTCGCTCTGTCGCCCAGGTTGGAGTGCAGTGGCGCTATTTTGGCTCACAGCAACCTCCGCCTCCCAGGTTCAAGCAATTCTCCTGCCTCAGCCTCCTGAGTAGCTGGGATTACAGGCATACGCCACCATGTCTGGCTAATTTTTGTATTTTTAGTAGAGATGGGGTTTCACCCTGTTGGTCAGGCTGGCTGGTCTTGAACTCCTGACCTCGTTATACACCTGCCTTGGCTTCCCAAAGTGCTGGGATTACAGACATGAACCACTGCGCCCGGCCTGAAAATAATCTTTTTTAAGAATGATTAATGAGTCAGAGAACTAACAAATTATACACTTACTTTGGTTTGTATTTTTGTATAAACCAACTCACTGGGTGTTAATAGCTGTTAACAGTCGTAAATGCAGGTGCCTATATGAAAACCTAATTGAGTTTTTAATGCATGAAATGCCTTTGGATTTCTTTCTTTCTTTTTTATTTTTTTTGAGACGGAGTCTTGCTCTGTCGCCAGGCTAGAGTGCAGTGGCGCAATCGCGGCCCACTGCAACCTCTGCCTCCCGAGTTAAAGCCATTCTCCTGCCTCAGCCACCCAAGTAGCTGGAACTACAGGCATGCGCCACCATGCCCAGCTAATTTTTGTATTTTTAGTAGACATGGGGTTTCACTGTGTTGACCAGAATGGTCTGGATCCCTTGACCTCATGATTCATCCGCCTTTGCCTCCCAAAGTGCTGGGATTACAGGCGTGAGCCCCCACACCCGGCCTGGATTTCTTTTAGTATGTAATGTGTTAGCTTAAAACTAAGGACACCATATAGTAAGGAAATTAGCCCTTATTTGAGCAGCATATGATTTTTTTTGAGTACTTATAGTCTTGCATTAAGGCAGAGTGGCTATGACATGAATAGTTTAATATTTTGTAATTTTTTTTTTTCTTGAGATAAGAGTCCTGCTCTGTAGCCCAGGCTGGAATGCAGTGGCGTGATCATGGCTCACTGCAGTCTCAAACTTCAGGGCTCAAATGTTACCCCCGCCTCAGCCTCCCAGGTAGCTGGGGACTACAAGGTGCTACTACCCCTGGCTAATTTTTTATTTTTTGTCAGTTGAGACTTGCTATGTTGCCCATGATGGTCTTGAACTCCTGGCCTCAAGTGACCCTGCCCCACTCAGCCTCCCAGTGTTGGAATTACGGGCATGAGCCACCCCACCCAGCCCTGCAATTTTATTATTCTCTAAACTGTTGCTGCTCTCCTTAACCCCTACTGACTACCTTTTGCTATTGAATTTGCTATATGGAAAACCATTTTATGTTCCAGAATTTGAACTTTTAAACTATCTTACAGTTACTGTCTCATTCTGGTCTTGAGAAAAATTTTCAGTTTTACAGGATCTGATTGAAATTACTCTAATTCACAGGGCAATTTTATCTGGATGGTGGCACTTAGAATGCAAGTTTCCCAATCTCCATTTATCTTTTGGTTTGAGGATAGTGTTTAAGACTATTAGGATCACTTGATTAGTATCTCTGGGCTTTTGAAAATAATTACACAGTGTTATGTTTTTAAAAATTGTTCTAATGGATAGGTACAGCAGAGAGCGCCATAAATGATTAAAGGTTTAGGAAAGTTCAAGGTCTAGAATTATTTAGGCATATTAAAGAGAAGGCTGAAAGTAAAATTCAGTCACTGTTTATAAGTTTGTGCTGTAACGTAACTTTAATATTCTGGAGATTTTTAAATTAATCAAGATCTATTTTACCTGGAGACCACTGTTTTGAACAGGAATGGAATTAGAATCTTTCTTGAGCTCTGACATAGTCCTCAGTTCAAAGAATAGATTTAGCATTTCCTAGCTGGGTAGAGTACAAAATCAAAGCTCCACTTCCCGTCTGTGAAATAGGTGTGCTAATAATAGTACCTACCTCTTAGGACTAAATGGGATAAGGCACATGAATCTTTCTAGCACAGTGCCTGGCACATAATAAGCACACAGAATTTAGCTCTTTCTGAAGATAGACATTTTCTAAATTAAACGTCAGTGATCAACTACATTTTCTGTGTTAACGTGTGGTTGAGTTACTAAAATTGTTAGATTTTCTTACCAAGAAACCTACTTGTCTTGGAAGTATACCTTCATTAAGTAAGCATGGTATAAAAAGAAGCTATCTTATTTGGTACTTAACCAAGTAACCTTTGTGTATATATTTATTTTTTCAAGGCAGGGTCTCCCTCTGACTCTCAGCCTAGAGTGCAGTGGTGCAATCACAGCTCACCGAAGCCTTGACCTCCAGGCTCAAATGATCCTCCCAACCTCAGCCTCTCTAGTAGTTGGGACCACAGGCACACACCACCATGCCCAGCTAATTTTTAAATTATTTGTAGAGACGAGATCTCACTATGTTGCCCGGGCTGCTCTTGAACTCCTGGGCTCAAGTGATACTCCCACCTCAGCCTCCAAAACTGCTAGGATTATAAGTATGAGCCACCATACCCAGCTCCAAATAATCTTTTAAAGTTGAGCTTTATTAAAGCATAAATCTGAATAATAACGTTGGCTGGTAAAAATTTTAGCAAGATGCTAAATAAATGTAGCATCTTATCTTGACTGCTTGGCGTTCTAAACTTGTATGTTTTTTACTCTGGGTCAGTCATCTAATCTTAAATTAGGAGTCATTAATATCCAGATTGGAAGCTGAGAAATAAATTTTAAAATCTTAGACTTAATTTTAGGAATTATAAACATGTATTATTGAAGGGCTAAAATATTAATAGTATTTTAAAGATTTGG